TCGGGCCCCGGAGGACTGGTCAATATCATACAGGATCTTTAATACGATGGCTTCGACTTGAAAACTTGACGACGGACATGCAGAAGTGATAGCGCTGTACGTCTCCTGGATAATATTTCGAGGGGACAATATATACGAGTAAGTACACATAATGGCTCAATCGAGTCCATGTTTAGAGGGGGGAGCAGAGCAACGGTATGAATACTATGAAGAGTCCGCCAACGACAATAGAACGAAAGAATATAAGGGAACTGACCTTCCTCCAGTGGTTTAGGCCTACGTTTGGAAGACAGAGGAAAACGATTGCGTGAGATAGCACGCAATGCAAACGAAAAAGGTTAAGAGAGGGACGCAAGACCGGAAAGAGAGAGGTGATAAATACGAAGGCATGAACTAGGAAAACGAAGATATGAGAGCAGGCCCGAACGGCGAAAGTTGCGCCAAGGCGAGGAGGTTGGACGTCCGTTATGCACAACCTGGATATCTAGGTTGTGGCGGGTCGGCGTCATTCTTGATTGGCGGCTGAGGCAAGAACGACGACAGGTGTCCAGAGCGATCTCGAGGGCACGGCGTGCCCTTGGTTGGGGCGAACCTCTCCCGATTCAGGGGAGAGACATGTTTGTGCTGGGCTTTTCAGCAAGGAGAACCTACAGAGCGATTTAGTATCATCGACCAGCACTCCGAAGAAGAAAATGTACAGATAACTACTTCGCCTCAGCCCGGTGCCCACTTTCATTTGTTCGTTACCTTGGTGTATGTTTCTGACTACCCTTCCTCTTGGATGACGGGAAGGTCATCCGAAGGACGGTAGTAGACATGGCGCATCACGGAGGGTTCGACGTGGGCCAGCTTCTCCCGAGATTTCGCCTTGCCCTCCGCCGCAATGAGCACCTTGAGATCCGCGAGGTTGACCATGGTTTCCTTCCTCACGCAGTCTCCCATGAACTCCATGATGGCTGTGTATCGAAGGCCAGAACCGCGAGCGCGTGGACAATCTTTAGGAGAGGGAAGGTGTCCGCGTACACGTAGGTTTGCAACACATCCGCGAGGTTTACGGTTGTCCTTTGTAGAGAAGTACCGGGTGACGCGTGGGGTGACGCGTGGGGTGAACGGGTGTATGCAGGAGGGGGAAGGGGGAGGGGGGATTGAAGTGTTGACGGCGTGCGGTGTGGGTGGTATGGAGGACTGGGCGGAGAGGTGTGGATGAATGACGGCCATATCGGATTTGG